TGTAGCTTATTGTATGCGTTAGAATCAAAGGGGGAGAGAGAAGAGGTTTAAGACAATATACAGGCTCACTGAAAGGTAGAGATAGATTTTTGACAAGGAAGCTACAGGCCTAGGACATGTCTACAGTCATGACCCACTTTTAATTTGGCATTTTTATGTTCAGATCATCCTATGTGGTTACATTCAATCTCTGAATTTATAAGGTCCACCATACAGGTGTCTCCTGAGCTTGTCAGGCTTAGTATGTGGCTTTTTTTTTTTTTTTTGTCTACATTAACAGTCTACCCCAGTTGTTTCCTCCTGGGAGGATGACACATTTTGATCTGAGTGTATCTGTGTGTGAGATTTCATATATACATTATCTATCTATCTATCTATCTATCTATCTATCTATCATCTATCTAAAAGGTTAAGCGACCATCTGACTGTTAGCTATCCTGTTTCCCTGAAAATAAGACAATGTCTTATATTAATTTTTGCTCCCAAAGATGCGCTAGGTCTTATTTTCAGGGGATGTCTTATTTTTCCATGAAGAAGAATATGGTACACATTTATTGTTAAATGAAGATGAAGGAAATTTATTACCTGTATATGGTATTGTAGTACGATAGTTGTCAACACAAACCAGACAAACTGTGAATCCTACAGTATCAAGAATTTACTCATTTATTCAATGACAATCATGTCATCATCTTCTGGAACATCATCATAACAATCCAATTCCTGAATTTCCTGGTGAATCTCTTGTGACTCCATTTCTTTCAGAATCAGTGGACCAAATCTCTCATGTTTAGCCTAGGGGGGCCTTATTTTCGGGAAATGCCTTATATTATATTTCACTCAGAAGGAAACCTGTAAGTAGGTCTTATTTTTGGAGGATGTCTTATTTTCAGGAAAACACGGTATTATGTACAATGATCACCAGGGGCAGATGCTCCAACCAGTAGCTATGTAGCTCACTGACCACCAGGGGGCAGCTGCTTAACACAGGAGCTGCCAGGCTATGGTGATTTGGCAGCGGCAACTCTTGGGTAATGATGTACCTGGAACCAGAGAGGAGGGAGCATGATTCTGGGGTGGGTCACCCGAGAACCACTCTCTTGCAATCGGGAACCTTTTGGGGGATGTTGGAGAGTCAATTTTGGCCAATTTCCTACAGACCAGGTCAAGGGACCCCACCTGCCCTGCCGGAGGGACCTTGCTCATTCTGCAGACGACCTTCAAGCCTTGGCCATCCCAGGTGTGGCCAGTTGGAGAGGGACCGTGGGAGGTTGGCTCCAGAGTGTGTCCGGCCCATCTCGCCCAGTCCCACCCTGCCGGCCACTTTCTAATTAATTTCCTTTCAATATGCATAAATCCATGCACTGGGGCACTGTGTGTGTGTGTGTGTGTGTGTGTGTGTGTGTGTGTATAAAAGCCTTAGTGACTGTTATGGCATAACGACCAAATGACTGGTCACTATGATGTGCAATGACCACCAGGTGGAGCACCGCTCAGCCAGAAACAGGGCTCACAGCTGGCTAGCACAGTGGCAGTGGCAGGAGCCTCTCCTGCCTCCACAGCAGCACTAAGAAGCAGCGAGCTAAGTGGTAAGGAGCGAGGGGTCCTGGATATCCCTTTAATGCTCCTGGACTGTGAGAGGGTTCAGGCCGGGTTGAGGGACCCTCCCTCACCCTCCAGCAGTGCATGGATTTCATGCACTGGGACTCTAGTATATATGTCCTATCTAATAAAGAGGGAATATGCAAATTGACTCACACCATCGCAAAAGCTGACGGTGCCCCACAGTAGAGGTGGAGTTTCCATAACACAAGATAGCTACGCCCACAGCAGAGGGGGGGTGTCCATAACACAAGATGGCTGCACCCACATTGGAGGCCAAGTTCCCCTAATGAGCCTTAAGCAGCATTCAGCAGGGACCTGAGGTTGCGTGGAGTTAGGCTGGGGCAGGGGACCTGAGCCTGTGCCCCCCACCCAGTGGGGCTTGATGGGGGATCTCAGGCCATATCCCCTGCTTGGTGGGGCTTGATGGGGGTGAGGCTGGCCAGGTCTAGATCTCACCGAATGGGGGTGGGGCTAGCTGGCTTTGGGTTTTGCATGATTTTGAGGCTCCACAGGTGGGTGGGGACTTGATTCTGGGTCCTTTAGCACACCCCAGACCCTGACAAGAGGAAGATTTTCACATAGATTTTCTGATACTCTCCATTACTGATACTCTCTGATACTTCTATTATATTATAGAGAAAGGGCAAATAGCATTATTAAAATATTTCCTCTAATTAATCCCCTTTTAATGTGCACAAATTTTGTGTTTTATACACACACACACACACACACACACATATATATATATATATATATATATATATATATATATATATAAAATTTTTTTTTTTTAGAGGCTTGGTGCATGAATTTGTGCATGGGTGGGGTCCGGCCAGCCTGACCAGGGGGAGGGGACATGGGCTGGACTGCCTGCTGGTTGAACTCCTGGTTGAGGGGCAATTTGCATATTAGCCTTTTATTATATAGGATATACACTGAGTGGCCAGATTACTATACATTCAGAGATCATAATAATCTGGCCACTCAGTGTGTGTGTTTGTGTGTGTATAAACACATTTTAGAAAAATGTTTATTGATTATAGAAAGGAAGGAAGGGGAGAGATAGAGTTAGAAATATTAACTGCATGTCCTGACTGGGAATTGAATTGGTGACCTCTTGGTTCATGGGTTAATGCTCAACCACTGAGCTATTTCATATAAGACTGTATTTCATCAGCCAGGCTGATTTCATATTTTTAAATCTTATTTTTATTCATTTTTTTTTTGATTTTTTTTTTAAATCAATCTTTATTGTTCATATTATTACAAAGGTTCCTCATTTCTTCCCCCCTCCACCAGGTTCCCACCCCACCCTCTGCCCCCTCCCCATCCCCCATTGTCCTCATCCATAGGTGCACAGTTTATGTTCAGTCTCTTCTTCCCTCCCTTTCCCCAATAGTAAATCCCTTTTCAGATAGTAAATCAGTTACTTAGCATTTTCTCATATCAATAATACCTCCACATGCCCAATGATACACTTCACACAAAAGACATTTCCCAATAGGTCCACCAGCCTCATCCAGGCCCCACCCAAGGCACTCACAGATCAACACCCCAGTCCTAAACTAACTCAACACATCCAGATCTAAGCCTTCATCACTTGATTCAGCAGACCCTCAAGATCCCACGAAAGTTTCCAGCCATGTCTGAGAAGCAGCCGTGGGGCAGGGGCAGGCAATGAGCGAGCTGTTCCGGGCCTGGCTGTTCAGGGCCTGGCCTCTGTTGCTCTGGTTCATTCCACAACCAGCTGCTCCGGGTCTGGTCACTGCCGCTCCCGACCTAGTTGCTCTGGACTTGGCTGCTGCTCCCCCGGGCCTGGCCGCTCCCAGCCTGGCAGCCGCTGCTCCGGGACTGGCCGCACCAGCCCCGCCTGCTCCCCCGGGCCTGGCCGCTCCCAGCCTGGCAGCCGCTGCTCCGGGCCTGGCCGCACCCGACCCGCCTGCTCCCCCGGGCCTGGCCGCTCCCAGCCTGGCAGCCGCTGCTCCGGGCCTGGCCGCACCCGACCCGCCTGCTCCCCCGGGCCCGGCCTCATTTTCAACTACAGCTGACACTCATTACTGTTTTATATTTGCTTTGGGCATACAGCATAGTGGTTAGACATTTATATAATTTACAAAGTGATCCCCCTTGAGGTATGTGTGTGATGAATGGATCAGCCTTTTTCATTGTTGCCAGTCTGATTAGTCATGTTTCCAAGGTGGTGAATTGTGCTGAGAAATTCAGGTGTGGAAGCAGAAGGTAAACAGGAGTGGGAAGGAAAGTATGACAGGAAGCAGCACCTGTGAGCACCCAGATGTTGGAGATAAGATGAAGCAGGGTGCTCCTGTTCTCGGGGAGCAGGCACAGACAGGTATGAAAGTCAGAGCGTGACAGTGATTGTCTGAGAAGACAGGCAAAAACAAAATGTTGCAATCACTACCCATGCGCTCACCTGTTGCTAGAGCCTAAATTAGCTAGAACGATAGAGCAGGTCCTTTACTGTAGATGCCAAGGAAGAAGGCAGACAGACACACACCGAGTCTTGGCGAAACTGAATGGGTCAGGTATCTTTGCAGTCCAGGAAATATATTTCAGTAAAATACCTAAAATGGTGGGCTTGAAGTTGTGAAATGTCTGGAAAGTTTGGAAATCAGGAGAAAAGAGGGAATTGGGGAGGAGGGAATGTAATTCTCAGTTTTTCTAGCTCCTTTTATAGATATACAGTTGTATTGTTAACAACAGAGTATTTTATTTCCTCATAATGTGATCGAGTATGGTGCTTAAGTTGACAATGGAACTTGTTAGTACAATGTGAATCACCCCTAACTGAACCAATTTTTAAAATGCTTTGACATGTGTGGTTAATAGATGTGACAGTCCCCAACATTATGCCTGATACCAGTTGATATTCATTAAATGACTTTTGATTCTGAATCAGAAACCTGAAAACAAAAGCAAGATGAAACTATGAGATTGCTCAGTTAAACTAGACGAAACTGAGGTCAGTTATGCATTGTGCGTGATTGGGGCCCTGAGACACATTACCCTCACGGCAAAGCTATTGGTTGACTTGAAAGTCCACGGCAGAGGGGAAGGAGTATACAAAGTAATGTTGCCTTAAGACTATAGAGACAGCCGAAACAGGTTTGGCTCAGTGGATAGAGCGTCGGCCTGTGGACTGAAAGGTCCCGGGTTCGATTCTGGTCAAGGGCATGTACCTTGGTTGTGGGCACATCCCCAGTGGGGTGTGTGCAAGAGGCAGCTGATCGATGATTCTCTCATCGATGTTTCTCTCTATCCCTCTCTCTTCCTCTCTGTAAAAAATCAATAAACTATATTAAGGAAAAAAAAAAAGACTATAGAGACATCTATTTCCCTGACATTTATATCCCTTTCAGGTGTAGGCAGGACTCAGGATGGCAGCTGCTCAGGATTTGCAGATGGAGGACATGGAAGAAGAGATGGAGGAAGAAAAGAAAATGAGAGAAGATGGGGAAGGTAAAGATCCCTTCAAGAATAAGAAGGTCCACAGGATTGTCTCAAACTGGATGCTTCCTGAACATGCCCGAAGAACGTACATGGAGAGAGCTAACTGCCTCCCACCCCCGCTGTTCATCATCTCCATCAGCCTGGCCGAGGTGAATACGTCGGGTGGTGGGTACCACTGGGGAGCTGCAGACAAACTGGGGGTTTAGGTTAGACAGATCAGACTAGAAAGCATGTAAGAAGAGAGTGAGGTGGTGGCAAGTACAGCACACACAGGACACAACCGCACCCTCTCCATCCCCCTTCTCGGCTTTTCCTATGTTCTCAGTCACTTCCAGCCAAGCATTGATCTTTATTTTTCAAACAAGGTCCCTGCCCAGCAGTGACTACAATTTCAGTGGCTGCATTTCATTTTAGTTGGTGGAGGAAGTCGGGATAAGACCACATTTAAATGGTCAGATACACAGCAGGTAAAGTTAATTCCTGTCATCTTTTGAGCACGTGGTATGAAGTGGCCAACGGGAGAGCTAACCACTGGAAACAAAGGTGGTGCCCACAGGCTTTAATGGGGCCTCTGTGGAAGGCGAGGTTAACACTCATGTCTGCCCTCCCTGACAGCTGGCAGTGTTTATTTACTATGCCGTGTGGAAGCCTCAGAAACAGTGGATCACCTTGGACATGGGCATCTTGGAGAGTCCGTTTATCTACGATCCTAAGAAGAGGGAGGAGGCCTGGAGGTTTATCTCATACATGCTGGTACATGCTGGGTAAGGAATGATAATTAAGTCACTGCAGTCAGAGGTGTAACCCCTAACTTTTATTCAGAGCTTTATTGCTGTCTAGAGGCCTGGTGCACGAAATTTGTGCACTGGGGGAGGGGGTGGAGTCTCTCAGCCCGGCCTGTGTCCTCTCCCTATCCAGGACACCCAGGGATTGAGGATTGGGCCTAAGCCAGCAGTTGGACATTCCTCTCACAGTCCTGATCCCTCTCGCAGAATGGGACCCCACACTCCTTACTGCCTGCCTGCTTGCTGCTCTTTACCGCTCAGCTAGCTGTTCCTTAGTGCTTCTGCAGAGGCGGAAAAAGCTCTGCCACCACCAGCTTCTGGCTGAGCGGTGCTCCCCCTATAGGAGCAAACTGACCACCAGGGGCAGCTCCTGTTTTGAGCGTCTATTCCTTGGTGGTCAGTGCGCATCATAGTGACCGGTCATTCCATTCTGCTGGTCATTCTGCCGTTTGGTTGATTTGCATATTAGAGTTTTATTATATAGGATAAGGCACTTTCATGTCCATAATCTTGCATGATCATCACAGTACCCCTAGGAGTCAAGTGTTGCTCCCACTGTTTTATGTTTGAGGCTGAGGGTTAGAGTCACTTGCTCTTGTTACACAGCTAAGTTGTAGAGCTAGGACCTCAACCCATTAATGCTAACTGCAGGTCCATTGTACTTTATATTACATTATAACTGCCTAATATTGGTATGTGTATGGGAATATTAATAAGAAGAGATCAAATCATTACCAAACCAAAATTATGTTCCCCTGGTTGTTTGATGTTGTTGAATGTTCCCTTTAGAAACTAAATATGAAGCATCCCTCCCAATTTTTCTGCTCCATCACATGCTTAAAAAAATAATTCATGGACATTGATGAATGTATAATACTGTTATTCACCTGGAATAATATAAGCCACAGGAGCTGCAGTGCCTGGCTTTTAGTTTTGCTTATAGTTTCTTCTTTAAAAAATTCTTTATTATTGTAAGTATTATATATGTCCTCTTCCGTCTCCCCTGCTCCCCCATTGTCCTCTCCCAGTCTGTCCCCACCCTCCAGTCCTGACCTTCACCTCCCCACCCCCACTGTCTGTGTCCATTGGTTATGCCTACATGCATACAAGTTCTTTGGTTGATCTCTTCCCCACAAGTCTCCCCCCGGCCCACCCTCCTGCTTATAGTTTCTTAAGTGCTAATAGCCTTCTATGACCCCACTCAGAATCCACAATTCACCATGTCCACTGCGGACTTGGTGAACTAAAAGCGTGCTACTTTCCCCACCTCTCTGGTGGACTCCTGAGGTTACAGATGAGGCCAGCTTTGTCTAAGAGACCTACATAGCCCTGAACCTTGAAGGAATATTCTGGCCTTTGGCCAAATAGGTAGCCATGGCAGGACACAGGGCCCAGAGACTGGACATCAGGGACAAAATCATCAACTGCTCAGTTTTTGTGGACAGTTTGGTTTTTCATTTAACAAGTATGTTCTGAGCATATGTGGCTTCTGCACTCAATGACTTTAAAATGACAAGGAAGCAGTTAACTGATAATGCAAGGCAGTGTAGAATTATAGTACATAGTAGTTACTTAATCTCTTTGCTTCTCAGTTTCCACATCTGTAAAATGGGGTAACAGTACCTACCTCAGAAAGTTGCTGTGATTAAAAAAGACGATGGTTATAACAATTTTTATAGTGCTGGACACATACTAACCATTCAAAAAAATTTACATGTAGGACATGTAACATATAGGTTTGCCTAAATGCTTTTATATGTAAGTAACAAGAACAATCTAATAGGACTTCAATAAATGGAGGCCAATGTTTTCCCATACAAAAAGCTCAGAGGTAGGTAGTTGGTTCATCAGTTTAATGAAGCCAGACCACTAGGTCCTGTGCTGGCACCTCTGCTTTTTCCTTGGCCTTTCTCTCATGGTTGCAAGTTGACTACTGTAGTCCGCATTCAAAGCAGGAAGGGGGAAGAGGTAACACCAGGCACTGGTGAAATCATCCCTTTTTTCAAGACAGAAGTGCTCTTAAGTCTCCTGGCTGTGCTGCTTTTACTTACATCTCACTGACCAGAGTTATGTGTCCCTACCTAGGAGAGGCTGGGAAAGCCCTAACTGGTTTGGCTCAGTGGATAGAGCATCAGCCTGCGGACTCAAGGGTCCCAGATTCGATTCCTCTCAAGGGCATGTACCTTGGTTGCAGGCACATCCCCAGTAGTGGGTGTGCAGGAGGCAGTTGATTGATATTTCTCTCTCATCAATGTTTCTGACTCTCTCTCTCCCTTCCTCTCTGTAAAAAATCAAATAAAGAGCAAGGTTGGGAAAGTTAACAAAAGCTCTTCCAGCCTCAGTAGAGGATGTAGAGAAGGGATAGGGAATGAGTGTTGGGTAAACTACAGTAATATAAACGGAAAGAGAGAAAGATCAGAATGGGGATGGCTTCATACATGACATGGATCTTAGTTGGGCCTTGAAGGTGGATGAAATTTGGAATAAAAAATTAATATTTCATCCTAGTTGGTTTGGCTCAGTGGGTAGAGCATCAGCTTGTAGACCAAAGGGTTTGATTCTGGTCAAGGGCAAATACCTCGGTTGCAGGCTCCTCCCCAGCCCAGGCCCTGATCAGGGCTCATGCAGGAGACAACCAATGGATGTGCTTCTCTCACATGGATGTTTCTCTCTGTCTTTCCTTCACTCTTCCACTATCTCTAAAAATAAATGGAAAAATAAAATATCCTTGGGTGAGGATTTTAAAAAATTAGTATTTCTATTTTGGGAATGTGACAGGATCTCATCTTTCTGCTACTTCTACTCTTGATGTTGAGTAGAAGAGTATTTGGGGTGATTCATTCAGGTCTTTGTGCTATTGGTCATCTTATCTTCTAGCTATTGCCAGAGGACAGGATGGTCTGGCTTTCTTTGACTTCATTCAGATTCACAAAGTGCATATACTTCCAAATCTCCTTTATGTCTGAGGTCTCCATAAGACTAGTGTAACTGCTATTGCTAGACAGTTCTGTGCTGAGCTATGTTGCCTCTCATATGTCTTTGAAGATGGCTTGGACAGTGATGGTTGGGGCTGGCTGTGCTTGTGGCCATAAAGGTAAGTTTTCTGTTCTGCCAGATATGCCCAGAGAACCTCTTCAATGGCCTAATGGATTTTTGTTAAGTAAATTATAATGTAAAACACACTCCCTAATACTAATGCAAAAGCTGTTGCACTTTGTGGAAGATCCAATAGCTATTATTATTATTATTATTATTTTTATTTTTTTTTGCTTTAATCTGAAATATTTGAGAAAAAAATATTTTCTACATAGCAACTAAATTGTACTACATAGCAACTAAATTGACTAAATTGATGATTATGGTACTATAAGAATTTATCAAATTACATTCAGAGATTATCCAGAGATGCTTGTGGGGTTTGACAAGCAAAATAATATGAAATGTATTTAAAAATATTTTTACCTATTTAAAAACTATAATAAGAAAACACCTGTATTCTAATGTGTTCTGCCAAATTGTGATACATGGTAGATACCAACTTTATTTATTATTATTATTTTTAAATATACTTTATTGAGTTTTTACAGAGAGGAAGAGAGAGAAATAGAGAGTTAGAAACATCGATGAGAGAGAAACATCATTCAGCTACCTCTTGCACACCCCCTACTGAGGATGTGCCCGCAACCAAGGAATCAAACGTGGGACCTTTCAGTCTGCAGGCCGATGCTCTATCCACTGAGCTAAACTGGTTTCAGTCCAACTTTAGCTAAGTAAACTTTTCCCCCTATTCTGGTTAGCTTTTATTTTTATTGATTTCATTTACTTTTATTATTTAAAAAAGTATTTTTCTTCATTGATTTCAGAGAGGAAGGGAGAGGGAGAGAGACAGAAACATCAATGATGAATAATTGATTGGCTGCCTCCTGCACAGTCCCTCCTGGGGACCCAGCCCACAACCCAGGCATGTACCCTTGACTGGAATCGAACCTGGAACACTCTATCCACTGAGCCTAATCCGCCAGGGCTATTTTTAATGATTTTAGAGAGGAAGGGAGAGGGAGAGATAGAAACATCAATGATGAGAGAGAATCATTGATTGCTGCCTCCTGCATGTCCCCTTCGGGGCATCGAGCCTGCTGCCCAGGCTTGTGCTCTTTACAGAAATCGAACCGGAGACCCTTCAGTCCTCAGGCTGACACTCTATTCACTGAGCCAAACTAGCAGGGTCTCGTTAGCTTTTTTTTTTTTTTTTTAAATATATTTTATTGATTTTTTACAGAGAGGAAGAGAGAGGAATAGAGAGTTAGAAACATCGATGAGAGAAACATTGACCAGCTGCCTCCTGCACCCCCCACCACCGGGGATTCGCCAGCAACTAAGGTACTTGCCCTTGACCAGAATGACCCTTCAGTCCGCAGGCCAACACTATCCACTGAGCCAAACCGGTTTTGGCTCGTTAGCTTTTAAAAAAACCATTTTAATGCAGACTTGGGAATGAAGTTCCTCTTGCCAGCTCTGTTTTATTAAAGAATATACTGAGATTGCAAGACACATTGCTTAACAGCCTACTGAAATTTAAACTCAATATGAATGAATTAGGATTTCCTCCATACTGTGCAAGTGAAACAAAATCAGAGGCTGAGCTGACCTAATTTGGCAATTGTCATCTAAACCTAATTTCAAATTCATGTTCTTTAGGCCAGCCTATTGCTCTCTGATTTTATCAGTAGTTGTTATAATAAAACAGACCTTATAAAATAAATGTATACTTCTAAAATGCCCTTTTACTTGCTAAAATAATTAGAATTTGGAATTTGAGTTAAGCAGTCTTTAACTGGAAACACCACCTCACTGCCTGTTTATCTCCCAAGGAAATAACTTCCTGTCTCAGTCATAATATTTGACACGTGTGTTTGTCTCTGCAGAGTTCAGCACATCTTGGGGAATCTTATTATGCAGCTCGTTTTGGGTATTCCCTTGGAAATGGTCCACAAAGGCCTCCGAGTGGGGCTGGTGTACCTGGCAGGAGTGATCGCAGGTTAGTGGTTTCAGGGCAACAAGAAATCAACACCTCCGGACTCTCAGGAGGTTATAAACAAAATAAAGGTAATCAACTTTGATAATGGGCTTTTTAATTAAGATGTATTCTATTCCTAATAGATGCTAGGAAACCGGATAGCACTGGAGATAAGTCCATTAGAGACAGTAGAGATAAGGTAATCACATAGAAATGACCTTGTGAGTGCCCTCAGGTGTCGCATAGACAGGGTTTTGCACATTTGGAAACTGAATAGGTCCATGCCCAGGTGCATACACTGGGTAAAGGCTTACAGCCAGTTCAGGAAGGCCCTTATTTGCTCTTGTAAAGACTCTGGGAAGTAACATGATCAGATTTGCATTTGAGAAAGGTAACTTCAAGAGAATGCAGAGAATAAAGGGGTCTAAAGACAGAGTGGGTACTAGTAGCCTACAGCAGTGTCTTCTAAAATTGTGTGTGTACCCAAGATGATTCATTATGGTGTGGGCAGAAAATATTAGAACATTAAAAAAATAAATTTTTCATTTTGAGGTATTGATTTATGCTTTAGTGTAAGAAATAAAAACCTAGAGGTCCATGAATCATTTAACCAGCTACCCCCAATGGGTGACAGCTTGCAAAACTATAGTACAGTACCACCATCAGGATATCCACACTGATAAGAGTCAAGGTACAAAACATTTCCAACACCATAAGCTATGCTCTCTTCCCTCCCACTTGACACTCTCCTTTATCCCGGGCAACCATGAATCTATTCTGTATTTCTACAGAGGTGGGCAAAAGTAGGTTTACAGTAGTAATACAAATAAATAATCTATATATATAAAAGCCCTGCAACTAGAATGGCAGAATGACCAGAACGGTGGCTAAGATGCACTCTGTGGCAGCCAACTAGCCTGATCTGGGCCCCGATTGGTGCGGTGCGCCCCCACCCCCTCCAGCTGGCCCGGCCCTGATCAGTCCCCAATACCCTGATCGGGGGTGGAGCTGGCCATCAACCGCCCAAGGCCCCTCCCTCTGGCCAGTCCCACCCCCGATCAGTCCCTCCTATGCAGATTGGAGGCAAGGCCTGCTGGCCAACCGCCTGTGGCCCCTCCTCCCTGCTGGCCCAGTCCAATGGGCCCCCATTGGGGGAGGTCTCCTGGACCCCACCCATGCATGAATTCGTCCACTGAGCCTCTAGTATAATAAATAAAAATACAAGAATAAAGTATTTCCTGTACTCGAAACTAAACCTGCTTTTGTCCACCCCTGTATAATTTTCTCATTTTAAGAATGTTACATAAATGGAATAATATGATAGGTAGCCTTTTGAGACTGGCCTTCTTTACTCAGTATAATTCCCTGGATATTCATGTAGGTTATTGCATGTATTAATAGTTCGTTCATTTTTATTGCTGAATAGTAGTCTACCACCCACCCTTCAGTCACGGATGATATCTGGGTTGTTCCCAGTTTTTGACCATTACAAATAAAGCTGCTATATACATTTGTGGACAGGTTCTGTGAACATAAGCACAGAGTTTTCATTTCTCTAAGATAATGTCCAAGAGCACAGATGCTGGGTTGCATGGCAGCTGCATATTTAGTTTTGTAAGAACCAGCCAACATATTTTCCAGAATGGCTATTCCATTTTGTATTTCTTCCAGAACTGTATAAATGATTCAGTTTTCCACATTCTTCCATGAATTCAGTGTTGTTACTATTTTTTTATTTTGGCTGTGCTCATAAGACCGTAGTGATATTTCTTCACAGTTTTAATTAATATTTCTCTAGTGGCTAACAATGCTGAACATCTTTTCATATACTTATTTGCCATTTGTATCTCCTCTTTAGTGAAATTGTCTGTTCAAGTCTTTTGCCCATTTTCTAATTAGATATTTTTTCCTGTTGAATTTTTAAGAGTTCTTTATATATTCTAGATCCTAGTCCTTTATTGAATATGTAGCTTACAGGTATTTTCTCTCAGTTTGTAACTTGTCTTTTGTCTTAACATAAGGAGTCTTTCACAGTGCAAAAGATTTCAATATTGATAAAGTCCAATTTATAAATTTTTCTGGGTTTATGAATCGTTCTTTTGGTGTTATGGCTAAGAACTTTTTTCTGAGCCCTAGGTCTGGCATGTTTTCTCCTATGTTATCTTTTAAAGTTATAGTTTTATGTTTTACATTTAAATATGTGATCTATTTGAGTTTGTTAATTTTTATAAAAATTGTGAGGTTTAGATTTAGGTTCTTTCTGTTTGTTTATTTGCATATGAATATCCAATTACTCCAGAACAATCTGTTGAAAAGATTATTCTTCCTTCATTGAATGGCTTTTGCATCTTTGTCAAAAGTCAGTTGGCTATAGTTGTGTGTGACTGTTTCTGGGTTCTCCTTTTTGTATCATTGATCAATGTGTCTATCCCACCACATACCCAGTACCACTGCTGCTATATATAATAAGTCTTGAAATCAGTTAGAGTGATTCCTCTCATTTTATTCTCATTTAAAAAATTAGTGTTTGTATCTTACTTAAAAAAAAAAAGTCAGGTATCTAATTTGCTGGCTTTTTGTCCCTTACTCCCCCCTTCCCCCCCTGAAAATAAAAGGCTATAGTAGTAAGTCATCTAACAGATGTTGAAAAAAACACCAAACGAGTCTCTATGATGATATTAATATCAGTTTTCTCCTAAGGAATAAGAATGTAACTGCTTTTCCAAAAATAGTTGTGCTATGAAAGGGCATTTTGAAAACTGGTCATTGGAAATCGCTAGATATTTATGCAATTTTGCTTCTGAAAATGATGCAACAACTCTTATAAGTTCACATTTAAAAAGCGAGGAAACAATTTCCTAATCTGTTTTAACATTTTCCAGTAAGGAGTTTTAGTGCATTTTAAAGTCACTTACTAGTGCCGAAACCGGTTTGGCTCAGTGGATAGAGCATCAGCTTGCGGACTGAAAGGTCTCAGGTTCGATTCCTGTCAAGGGCATGTACCTTGGTTGTGGGCACATCCACAGGGGTTTGCAGGAGGCAACTGATCAATGTTTCTAACTCTCTATCCCTCTCCCTTCTTTTCTGTAAAAAAAAAAAAAAATCAATAAAATATATTAAACAAACGAACAAACAAACAAACAAAACGACTTACTAGTTTGCAAGAACTAATTAATAACATTAGAGAAGATGGGAATAGCCAAAATTACAACAAAAATTTTGCATAATTGAAGCTTAGCCAATGATGCAATTCTTCCATTTTAAATTACATGTCATTAAAAAAAATGTTATATTTTGGCTATGACAGTGATTAAGAGGAAATTTCTATAGAAAAATAGCTGAATTTAGAAGTATATGTACTCACTCCTCCCTCCCCGCCTTAATCACAGGGAAAATGTTCCAAGATCCCAGCGGATGCCTAAAATAATGGATAGTACCAAATCATATGTGTACTGCTTTTTTTCTATACATACATACCTATGATAAACTTTTAATTTATAAATTAGGCGCAGTAAGAGATTCAACAATAACTAATAATGAAATACAACAACTATAACAATGTCCTGTAATAAAAGTTATGAGAATGTGGTTTCTTTCAAAATATATTGTACCGTATGTACAGTGTGGATACACTGGACAAAGGCATGATCCACATCCTGGGCTGGATGGAGCAGAATGGCATGAGATTTCATCATGTTTCCCAGAATGGCACTTGATTTAAAACTTAAGAACTGTTTACTTCTGGGATTTTCCATTTAACATTTTTGAACTGTGGGTAACTGAAACTGTGGAAAGTGAAATCATACATAAGGGGAGGGGGGGAACTACTGTATCTGTATTTCTGTGTCATGATATTTAACCAGGATTTTAAAAAGTAGTGAAGCTTATTTAATAACTTCATTGAAACATTTTCAAAAATTAAAGACATTTTAAAAAAATGTATATTTTTATTTATTTCAGAAAGGAAAGGAGAAGGATAGAGAGACAGAAACATCAATGAGGAGAGAGAATCATTGATGTGCTCCCTCCTACATGCCCCACACTGGGGATTGAGTCCACAACCCGAGCACGTGCCCTGACTGGGAATTGAACTGTGACCTCCTGGTTCGTAGATTGATGCTCAACCACCGAGCCATGATAGTTGGGCTAATGAAATTTTTTAGAGCAGTTTTAGGTTCACAGAAAAATTGAGAGGAAGGTACAAAGATTTTCCAAACACCCTGTCTACTATACACATGCATAGCTTCCTCCATTTTCAACATTCCCCAACAAAGTGATGCATCCTATATAATAAAAGCCCAATAGGCTAAGTGTCTGGTAGATAGATCGGCTGTTCAACCAATCAAAGTGTAATATGCTAATGCTATGCTAAGACTGCTCAACTGCTCGCTATGATGTGCACTGACCACCTGGGGGCAAATAGTCAACCAGTTGACCAGTTGTTATGTGCATTCAATACCAGGGGGCAGATGCTGAGACTGGTAGGTTAGCTTGCTGCTGGGGTCTGGCCGATCGGGACTGAGGGAGATGGGTGAGATATGCCCTGTAGCCCGCCTGCGGTCCCTCCCTGGCTGGCCAACCTCTCCTGTCTTTCCCCGGTGGGGTTCCTTGGCCTGGCCTGTGCCCTCTTGCAATCTGGGACTCCTCAGGGGATGTTGGAGAGCCGGTTTCGGCCCCATCCTATAGACCAGGCCAAGGGATCCCACTGGTGCACAAATTTGTGCACTGGGCCTCTAGTTCCTTATAACTGATGAACTTACATTGACACAACATAATCACCCAAGTCCATAAAATTAGAGTTCACTTTTGTTGTGGTACATTCTGTGGTTTTGGACAAATGTTGACATGTATCAATCCCAGTATTGCACAGAATATTTTCACTGCCCTAAAGTCTGTGTTCTATCTATTCATCCTTTTCCCCACCCACAACTCCTGGCAGCCACTGATTTGTTTACTGTCTTTACTGTCTCCATAGTGTTGCCTTATCAGGAATGTCATATAGCCCTAACTGGTTTGGCTCA